TTTTTTTATTTTTTTTTTTTTTTTTTTTTTTTTTTTTTTTTTTTTTGGTACGGGGATCGAATGCGGGTCTTTGTTCTTGCGAGGCAGGAGGCAGCACCACTGAGCTAAATTCCCGGCCCAAATTCATTTAATTCTAAAGAATGCTTTACACATTGCACATGTACATCAAATTCTTCCTTAGCTTTAGACAGTCCATAGGGTTGTCTCTGAAAAGTGATACGTATTTTTCATGACAGTCCTGTCCGTGTAGCAGTTTAAGATGTTAAGATCCTCACAAAGTCCTTTCTTGAGGCTGTTCTGAGAACTGAGATCAAACATCAACCAGTCTATCCATCTGCCAGGATCGATAGAGGTGCTACTGTTTTCTTTGGCAATTTGGATTGGGGGTTAAGAAACTGGTAATACAGGCACCTTGAAATGTAGCAGTTTTAATAAATAAGTGATCAATAGAAAATGTGTCTAAATGGTCTCAGAAGCTATAGAACTGTTTAGTAATTTTGTTGAAATTTTCTGTAATGTCTGAGAGTTAAGGCTTAAAATATGAGATCTACAACTCTGCCATTCTTGTATCACAACACAGTACAACTACTAAATATGCATAGACATTTCCACAGAAACAAAAGGGGCCTGATCAGTCCATTCAGCCTTTGTTTCTGGGAAAAAGCACCCCCTCTGGGTCCAGGAGCAGGGATTCACGGGTATTTGCCTGGTTCAGCCTATCCCTCCAGCCCTCTTGCAGGAGTTTGTCAAAATTGTGGGTGGGTGGAGCCGAAGCACAACCAATCGGGGAAGGGCCGGGGATTTAGCTCAGTAGCAGCACGCCTGCCTTACAAGCACAAGGTCCTGAGTTTGATTTCCGGTAATGGGGGGGGAGAGCTAATCGACTGAAAAGGTCACTTGGGCTTGGAGTCTCCCCTATGAACTGTCAGCTGGGCTTTGTATTGTAATCCACAGAAGAGATGCATGAATCTCATGAAGCCACTTTATTTGAGACAGGGTAACACTATGTAGTTCAAGGTAGCCTTGAACTCACTATGTAGCCCCAAGGCTGGCCTCAAATTCACAGCAATCCTGACTCAGCCTCCCAATGGCTGGGATTACAAGCATGAAACCACTTTCTACAAGTGTTCTGGCGACTTGGCCATGATTTGGTCCATCTGCTTCACCACGAAAGCCAAGATTGAGCTTATCTAGATTGGTCAGAGAACCCAAGCACTTGAAAAATATTTTGTGATGTGACCTTACCTGTACCATTATGCCCTCTCCCTAGAGAACAGTACCCTTTCTATTTGAAGCGTATGATTCAGAAGAAAGCAGGCTGACTTAATTTTAGTTCAAGGCAGGATTTTCTCTGGAAGTGTTAGCAAATTTGGTGAGCAATTGGGAAATGCTCTCCCTAGAGTAGTGGTCTCTTGTTAAGTGATGAGTGACACCATTTAAACATCTCACGATAGGTCTGTAGAAAAGTGGAAGTGGGGCCACTGTCCCCAGCACTTTTGTCACACCTGCCCTTTGGCTCCATCTCCTTCCTGTACCACTGCCATCAAATGCTTCTCTTTCAGTGAGCTGAGAAGCTTTGTGCTGAAGGCTTGTTAACTCTGCACACCAATGTACAGAAAAGTCACTGCAGCTGTCTCAGGTCAGTTACTCTGCACCACCGATGGTAGAGGAAATTTTTGTCCTTTTGCTTGTTCATTCTACCATTCACGTGGTAGCTTTGACAAATGCCTCTTTTACCAGGCAAATACTCAGCTTGGTCACTTGGAGCCACAGTCGTTAGTAACTTTTAGTTACCTCATCTCCTCCCCAGTCTTCTATTTTGTGGAAGGTTATATTTTTCTCTAGAGTTCTTTGGGGTATTTATTTATTTGGTTCCAGGGAGGGCCTTGTGCTTGCAAGGCCGGCAGTGGCACCGCTGAGCTAAATCCCTGGCCCCACTTCCGGGTATTCTTGATGGGAATCAGTGAACACTGTCCTGTTCCTTCTCAGTGTTCTCCTTATTAAAACCCTCCACCTCCAGCACACCCTTGCCCCACTGCACTTGAAGTACACATTTCATCTTCAAAATAAAAATTTATTCAATCTGTAACAAGAACATTGCATCTGCACATTTGCGCACAAGTTCACATTTAAAAACAGCAGAGCACATCAGTAATAAAAAACTATGATACAAGTGGAACATCCCAACCACCAGGAAGATTAAGGAAGGAGATGAGACCACTCTTTATATTCTACTTCAAATGCCTCAAAAAGGTCCCAGAGATTCCAGGGAGCACCTGCTTTATTTAATAAAATGTGAGCATAAAAGTTGAGGGTAACCTAGGGCACAGGTAACAGTCAGTGGGAGAGTCTTTTGGACTTGTTTTCCATGTTTAGAACAAGTCCTCCAAAATAAAGTAGAAAACAAAACAAAAGGCACCTTTAACTATGCCAAGCAAACCAAAATCCAACAAAATATAAAAATCAAGCTCTTCTTGGTGGGCTTATTGATTAGGAAAGACTTCAGAGCATTTATTTCCCAGTTTTCAGTTTGGGTTATCAGCTTGAGTGAAGCCCTGCGTATCGGCTGTGCATTTGCTGTGTATGTACACAGGATGCTGCCACCGGCACTGCTCTGAGAACATTGATGGCAGCACTAGTCACGTTGTCTCTTGGGGGATCTTTAGGCTGATAAGGGATAATGATTCCAGTTTAAAAATCCTGTCCTAGATCTCTGGGGGCATTGAGAAGATGAGCCTGGTTCTCTTTTCACAGCAGAAGCCAGACCCAGTTACCCTCCATTTCCAGGCTGGAAAAGTACAGAAGCACCTTGCAAAAGCTCTCCATGGTGTCAAGGGACCCTAAGCTCTGGGAGAAAGGTTAGGAGTGTGCATCCTCCTGCTTCAGTGGCAGGTCTTTTCCTAATATGGTGTCAGGTGAGTTGAGGCAACAAATACATTTATGTCTAATACATGCCTTGATCTTTTTAGTTCGAAAGGGAAAAAATCCACAATACTTTCAAGTTGGATTGGTGCTGAAACAACAAAATTTCATCTTGTCTATCCAAAAACAAAACAAAATTAGACAAAAACCATACTAGCCATTCACCATTACAACCATCACTATTAAGACACAGCATCACCGAGGAAATGACGACTATTCCATAGAGAATACCGGATGGAAGCGCAGGACATGGATGGGAGTCAGCTCCAGGTTTTACTGCTTATCCTCGAGGGCTGACATTATGGCATTGCTCTGTGTAAGGATTCACAGGACGGCCAGGGCCTCGGTGCCTGGAGGACTGAGTGGCCAACAAGATGATGCATATTTTAATATTCACAATGTAAACAAAGTATCCACAAATAGTTATCTGAAAAAGCCAAAACATGGCTTAATTTTAAAATGCCCTTAAAAGTGACTTTTTGCATAATGCTTTCTTAGGAAAAAAGTAAACAATTCTCACAAAACATTTTTATCAAACATGCCTAGATCACTTTAGAATGAAATCCTCAAATGAAGCAAATGAAGACTTCTGTGAGCTGCTGCCTCAGAAGCATCTCACAGGAAGCTTCGGGTCTACTTGACAGCATCTGTCTGCAGCCAGGAGCAGGAGGGGACCTTAGAGTCTGGGCTATCACCATCTGGCTATCCTCAGAGCTCTCGGCAGTTCCCAAATGAGAAGAGAAAATAGTATTTGGGACAAAAACAGGAAAAGACTAAATAATCTACAGAGGTTGAGATGCTAGAAGTGATCTAAAACAATACTCTAAATAGAATCTGAGGGCTGGGGATTTGGCTCAGTGGTTCCACAGCCTGCCTTGCAAGTGCAAGGGCCTGAGTTTGATCCCCGGTACCACGAAAACAAAACATTAAATAGAATCTGAAAGGCAACCAAAATGAGGAGAGATGGATTGTACCATACTATAGCATAGTACGTCCACTACAGTAAACACCTAGGAGTTTCCAAAGAGCAAAAAGGTGGGGGAGGTTTCTCTCCTAATGACAAGGTAACCACCCAGATTATAGCTCCAATCTTTTGTGCTCCTGGAACTTAACCCATGCACTTAAATGTCAACTCTTGGTATACATATATATTCATTCTCTCATTCTCTCTCTCCCTCTCTCTTTCTTTCTCCTCCAGAGTTACTGAAAGACTATGGTGCTCTAAGAAAAACATAGAGGTACCGGGCAAGAAGTGCAGTACTGGACAAGAGGTCATCTCTGCTCATCTCTGTTAACCAAACCTACTGTTTGAAATTTGAGTTTTCCATGAGCAGAAATGGGAAACAAGCCACATGAAACTGTCAAGAAGTTTGAAGAGAAGAAAGTCTAAAAAGTCCTCACCAGCTTATTCTGCACCTCCTCTGGATGTTGCTCAGCTATATATATAACTTAAGAACATTCAAGAGTGTGGAGTTTTAGAGGGCTGGCAAATCCCTTGGCATGGTTAGATTACAGGCTCTCTATAGAAGATATTTACTTAGGCAGGTCAGTTAAATTATAAAAAAATATAATAAAAAAGGAAGGCAGAACAAGATTGTATTCTCTACTCTTTAAAAAAAGTAAAGTTCATATTTTTTCACAGCATGAGAACATTTCTTCCCCCTTTTCATTGCCATTAAATGCAGTGAGAGTGAGCATTAAACACAGTGGCAGGTGAGAGGGAACAGTGCCCCACTGTTGATACTTCTGCTTTTTAATATATGGGATGCTGGTGCCACTCTCCATGTAAATCCTCTCCCCAACTCCTGCCACAATTCCTGTCCTTTCCCCGTCACACTGCTAGTGGAACTGCTTCAATAAGACAGGGTGGTTTAGATGGGTGAGCCCTGGAAGTCATCATTTTGTTTGACAAGCCTCCTCACGCTGTCAAATATATAACCCAACAAAACACTTTACAACACATAAATACCCAGGAATCACAAAGCTGTGTCGGTGATACATTTGGACATTGAAGGACAGCACAGATATACATAATTATTACACCATAAAGACTCTTTTAGCAGGTGGTTTCTTTCCAACCTGCTCCTGGTAGTGATGTCAGACCCAACCATGGCTTCCATGAGGCAACTGGATCCATAGCTCCTCTGGAGCACTGGAAAATAGCCTCAGTTCACCTTTTCTGTATCCTTTTGGTTGCTCAACTGTCTGTCCCCTCCAGACTCTGGCCTGTGACATCACCATGACAGTCTGTGCGTGTATCTCTTCCTCTCAATGCTGTGACGAACCAAAAACCCAAGTCTCAAGTTTGTATTCAGTCAACCCTTAGCAATGTGGACATCAACCAAAGCAGAGAGGAAGCAAACTTGCAAACTTCTTCAGTTCTGATGAGCTGTAGTAGGTGTTTCATCCCAGGCTAAACATGCTTTTTGTATGAAGCTTGGAGGCTTGTTTATGGCAGATGCTCCTGTGTTAAAGATCTCCATAGCCACAAAGCAACACATCCTAAATGTAGTTATTATGGGCACTTGCTCTTGGCAGAGACCTCCCCTGTGGCCTCTCAGCCTCCATTAGGAGCTTCCGCTCTGGGCAATGCATATACACTTTCTGGCTGTGGTTCATCTACTGGCAAATAATATTTTAGGCTTTTAGTCTCAAACAGAAATCAGCCTTTAGTCACACTGTGATCTAATGGGAACCTGTAGGGGTTTCAATGAGGAGGAAGTTACTAATGCATAATTTGGCAGGAGCCAGCAATTAGAAATCTCCATTTAAACAAAATCACCATCAATATATGGTGCAGATTCCTATCAACAACTACCAGTTTTATTTCTGGTGTCTTTATGTGTTTTCCAGTTGGAACTCTATTCCTTCTTAAAAAGAATAAATCAGAAAGGACCCTACAACATCAACAACAGAACATTGTAAGAAAGTGACATTATGTACATAAACACTGTGTATACTTTAGAGAAATGACACAACTTCCAGGGAAGGGGGGGGAACCTTATGTCAAGTGTTAGACAGTAATAATAGAGAAAACTTTGCATTCAATGGAGGTTATACATATGTAATGTAACAATTCAAATATAACCTATGAAATTAAAAAACAGGCAGGATTGGGGGATACAGTAAGGTAGAGGAAAACAAATTGGGAAAAATATGGCCATTAAACTCAGAAGGCCCACAGAATTATTCAAGTAATGGAAAGGGTTTAAAAACCCTACATATGTATTCATTTTACAAGAACACACTGACTGCTGATTGCTGTTTTTCAAACTTGACCCTACTGCATTTTAGCATTTTAGTTGGGGGGACACTTGCAGGGAAGATTTTCTGGCAGGGAGGGCCAGGATGGTCACATAGATGGAGCCCACCAAGCCAGAAGTTACTGGGCAGCAGCCTCTCTCCTCTCCTCCTATCATATTTTCCTCTACAGAAGAACTCTTCGCTTTAATTTGTTCCTTTTTAATTTAAAAAATTTGCTTGATACATTTACAGAGCCAGCTATTATCCATGCCTTTCTATTATAATACAGTCTACAGTACCAGAAGAAATGAGTTGTTGAGGATCCCCTTGTAAAGCAGGGTAGAGCTTATCTTTTTCAGGAACTCCAAAGGACTAGGGCTGGAGGTGAGGGCCAAGAACACTCTGGAGTCCTGGCTGTCCTTCAGCTCATCTGATGCCTGAAGTCTGGGAACCATCGTCACAAAGGCCTAGGGGAGCACTTCTAATTTGCAGCCTCAGTGCCACTCTCTCCATCTGCTTCTTTCTCTCAATCAAGCAAGCATGCCTTTTCTCAGAGAGCAAAATCAGGAGCAGGTGGCAGCTGACTGAAAAACAGCAATTTCTCTTGATAAAGGTGTTCTTTGAAAATGAGTTTTTTTTGAGGTTTGAATTTTTAAAAAATAAACAATGATGAAATGGTCCTGACATCCAAATCAGTCTCTCGGTACTCACATATACACACACATATACACATGCACGCTGAGAAACCCAAACCCTGCATGCGCCAGAACAGTAAAATGACCAAAGTATTACAAAATCAACCAATAAAGTGCATGTTCCTTACATATTACACCTGCCCCCTTTACATACATTTCTTTTAGAAAAATCACACGTAATAGGCTCAGAATCACATGGTGTTATATAAGGGGTTGGTTGTCCGTTTTTTATCATTTGTCCTTTTCAGTCTTCTAAGGGGGTGAGTTCTGCCATGCTGCTGACGGGGTTCCACAGCCAGCCCTGGAGCTGGGCCTGCACCCTGCAGTCCCTGGGTCTGTAGCAAAGGAAGGCCTCCTTCAGAACTAGTCAATTCTTGTCCCGCCCTGGGAAGCAAACACTGCTGACTATAACCAAATTCTTTGGCATACTGCACATGAGGCCTCTCCACTGGTTTGCTTTGTGCAATACACTCTGTTGTTTTGAGTTGCTCTACAAAATACTTAGTGGGCTCTGTGTTCTGGGAGGCACCTGGGTTTTCTGGGGGCGCCTGGGCCTCCATGGCATGCATGCCTGAATCTGTTCTGATGAAGGGCTGAAGCATTTTGAGATGAGGGGATTCAGAGGAGACAGACTCTCTCTCTGGTAAACAGTTTTTACAAAGGTCCAGGTAACCTAACTTGGCCAGAGAAGCTGAGCGCCTCATTTGGGATGGTTTGGGGATACTTGCCTGGAATATCACTCGGGACTCGATTTCTTTAGCACGCTCCTTTACCACACCAGGGCTGTGGCTGAGACCCTTTATATTTTCACTACTACAGCTATGTGGGAGTCGCCAGGATACCTGTGATGGGTCCATTCTTTTCTGTAACTCCCCAGTGTTGTCATCAAGTTTGCTAATTAAATTTAGGTCCTTGCTATTTAACTGGGAGCCCTTGTGTGGTGCTTCATCACCACCAGAGAGATGGCCTTTCTGACTTTTTTCCCAGCTAACTTGTTCTGCAGAGGGCTCACTGTCTGTTGTGCTGCTTTGCTCTGTGCAGCCTTTCAGGTGAACCATGGTCTGGAAATGCAGATATTCCAAGTCGGCAGGTAGTATGTGGGTTGTATGACTGATAAAAGGTGCTGTTGTTTCCAGGGCTGTCAATGGGCTGTTGCCTCTGTCTTCAGGGCTGCTCAACATGGAGGCTGGGCTGGAGGACCTATCTTGCTCTGGAGAAGAATGAGGCCGAGGTAGCACTTGGGGGTGCAGAGAAAGCTGGCTGGGATCCAGAGTCCTATTCAGATTTTCATCCAGTGCACACAGCACAGTGACAGACTTCTCCACCTTTACTTTCCTCAGTCCTTGCTCCCCCTTCTCTTTGCTTGTGACTATTTCACTCCCTGACCCAGAGTGACTGAGTGATGTAACTGTGTGAGTATGCTCAATGATTTCTATCCTTCTGGGAGGAGGGAGGTCCTGTGTCTCAGACCCCTGGCATGAAACTACAGTCCCTTGCTCCTCTGGGACTCCTTGCTTTGTTCTAATATCTAACCCTGGATACTCCTGAGTTGCTGCCAAGGGGTGATACTCCAGCACCTCGAGTGCTGGAGCAATGGCATTCTGCTCACACTGGGATAGTGAGCCAGCCTCAGACCTACTGCATTTTGCTTTGTCCTTGGTTCCTTCTGGTTCCTTGGGAGCAAATGAATATTCTGCGATGGCTTCATCACTTTTCCCTTTTGGTGCTACGTCTGCTACAGAAGAATCATTCTTAGAATTCTTGCGAGTAGACAATGAGGCACACCCAGGGACAGAACTATGGTGCTCCTGCTCCTGCCGTAAACGCTCTTCAAACTCCAGGGTGGCTCGCCTCACAGACCCAGGGCACCACTTGGCACCTGGATGCATGCCTGGGCCCCACAGCTCATGTTCCCCTTCTGTTGATTCCTCTTCTTCCAAGTCCACTGCGGATGAGTGTGTGGATAGGCAGCTTTCCGGGTTGCACTTCCCTGAGTCTTTGGCTAGTTCAGGCTGGGCTGTGCAGAAACCTTCATCCTGCTCCGTATGACCAGGTTTATTTTCTGGGGCCTGGATTCTCTCAAGGGACAGCTCATGGATGGTGCTCTTCTTTGGTGTATGACATGGGTTGGACACCATGTCTCCTTTCAGCTGCATCTGCCCAACTCCTTGACTGATGGATTCAATTTCAGTGACAATTTCTTTGACTGAAATTGCATTTTCTGAATGAGAATGCATGAAGATGTCTGGGCTGATCAATTCTGAGATTGCCTAAGAAGAGAAAGCAATGAGATTATGGCAAATTGTAGCCCAATTAAGTGGTAGTGTTCTGCTTAATAATCTTCTGATCCAGAAGAAACTGTCTCTGAGAACACAAAGTATAGACTGTCTGTGTACCACGCTCCCTCCCTCTGTCACGTCCGGCTATGAAAAAAAAAAAACAAACTGGGACTCATCAAGGTCAGAAATAGAAAATCCATCACAGGTTACATCACAATCTACTACACTTTCTACTCAGTTTACTCAAGCAGGATGGTAATTCAGTGCCTTGCTCTAAACTGAACAGCATGTAGCTGTGGGGTCTCCTACAATCTGTGTTTTCCTAGGAAAACTACGAACCTCCAGGAATCAAACCTTTCTCCTCCAGCCTATCGATTTCTAGTTTGATCATGACTTATTTAGAGGGAAGAATGTATTCAAAGGCTCTGGGCCACCTTAGATATTCCCAGCTGGATACAACTGTCACCTGCTATCTGATCTGGAAACTAGCCTCTCTTCTCTCCTGTCTTTCTAGCTTTCATCCATATCCTCCCCACTATAATTCCTAGCAGTAGCATTCCAGATGTACTCATATATCTGAATGTACAATCCCTAAGCTTCACAAGCTTCCTTCTGGGGAACGTTTACTTGGCTTAGGCAGCCATGTGCCTCAGCAAATGCCATTACTCTTAGACATTTTACTCTTATACCAGTTACAAATTCACAGATGTATTTGGAACAAGGCCAAAGAAATGGCCCAGTGAAAAATAAGGTCTTATTGTTAAAGAAAGAAAGAAAGAAAAGAAAAAAAAAAGAATTTCAAAATCTGGAAATGATTCCTATATACCTCTTAAAGTAGGATCATAAGGACTATCTACTATGTTAATATTTTTATGTATGACATCAAAGCATTGTATTTCCCTAGTAAATGTTCTGCCTTTCTCCTTCCAAAGAGAAATTCAGCTAGTACAAACTAATAAGGTCAGTGAGGCCTTTGGGGGAAATCTGCCAGGACATCAGGAAGAGGGGAACTCGCCAAAACTGGAGAGAAGCCACAGGGGGCCTGGTGTGTGCGCTGGCCATGGAGGGGGTTCTCATATGACCAGGACTGTGGGAAGGCTATTTCTGTCAGTGCCACAGCACTCACTTTTGGTTCAATGGAGAGCTCAAGCATTCTGACCTCCCAGTAAGAACAAAACAGAGCCATAGCCTTCGGAGAGGGGAGGACAGAAGCAGAGGCAAGACTTGCTGGGGGTGGGTAGTTAAGGAGAAAGATAACAGATGAGTGATGGACAGGGAGAGGTAAATGTAAGTAAAAAATCAGGAGATACCAAGGATCTAGTCAGCCCAGTTAAAATGATTAACTGAAGTTTTACTATTTTAGAGTAAATCTGTCACCTTCCTCAATTATTGCCTGGTTTTGATCTAAGACACTATTTGACAGTGTATGTCCTAATTTCAGAAGTGTCAAAATCAATGTGAGAGTGTTAGATGATACATACTACTTTGTTTTTGAAATGGCTAACATAAAAGTTCATATGCCATTGAAAAGAATCGCAGGATCCTGTCTGCTCTCAAATTCATTTTCCCAAATCAACCCTTGACTCTTGAGTAACACAAGACTGGAATTGAAGAATTCAAAAGCATTACTAAGAGTAAGAGCTTAGCATGGGAATCAATTGCTACTCCAGCAATTCTTTGCATAAACCTTTGAATTTTCTAAGACAAAACGAATTTCCCAAGCAAATCCATCTCTGACAGAGACACAGTTCTCATTCAGGCAGCATCTGAGTCCCTGTCACTTCATTACTGGTGAGATTTGATCTGAGCGGCAGAGGTCTATGGAGAGAATCTCTCTTTGTTCAGCCAGGGATATTTGTTTCAGCTAATCCTTTCCTCCAACAGCCCTGCTCAGAAGTGCTTCCAATGACACGAAAAGCCTGAAAAGTTAAAATCCTCAAAACTAATTTATAAAATAGTTAAGCTCTAAGTAAATCTTAGCCAGATGGTTTTACTGCCTTCCTAAATGTTTCACCATCATCAAAAATAAAGTGAACATAACAAAATCAACATATTTGGTCTTTGGAGAAACTTAATGAAGTCTAACTTAATGAAGTTAATAATGTTAAGTGGAAAACCATAAAGATAGTTTTTACCTTAGATTGTTCTTCATCCATTGAAGATTCTTCTGATGCATGGGGCGTATTACTCAAAGAGCTGCTTCTCTGGTCATCAGTGGTCGCTTCAGAAGTAGTTACTTCTACCACTGACAGTCGACAGCTCTCACTCTTTCCTCCACCTAGCTCCTCCATCCTTGAGTGAGAAAAAGATCGAGACCTAGTTTCTTGAGAGAGCTCTACAAACTTCTCTAGGGCACTAAAAAAATCAATGCGATCTGTACTGAAATCTGTAATTTCAGCCTGGCAGCTAGGCTGGGGGCTTGGTGACTCAGGATCAGGAGACATGGGGAGGTCTTTCAGTCCAGATGTCAACTCTTCCATAGGCAGTAAGTGGACATTTATGTCTGCTTTCAGTGCATCTGTCTCCAGATCTTCCACTGTTAAATCTGGGAACTTGGTGACCATTTCTGGGACCTGCCCAGGTTGGATTAAGGCTTTAGATGCATGGCAGTTGTCAAGAGGGAATTTTGACTCATTGAGACAAAACCCTGATGAGCATCCATTGATATCATTTAAGTTTAATTCATCTTCAATTTGTCCAGCATGAAATTCCCTAGAAGTAAACTCCAAGCAGATCATTCTTTCTTTGGTACACAGGGCTTTCTGATTTGTATCTTGTGGGACCACATGTTCCACAAAGACGGGAGGTATGGATGGGTGACTCTCTATGGACTTCACTTCAGCAATCTGGTCTGCTGAGGTGGTGATCTCTTTCTTGTTGAGTTCTAGTCCAGGTTTGCAGATGGGTTCATGATGGTCTGAAAGATCACTGTCTGAATGAGATCTCCAGAGCTTGTTATGTCGTTGTTTGCTGTGGAGGACATACACAAGAATCACTTTACTCTGGTTTATGAAAACAGTCAACACCTTCCCAGGAAACCACTCCCAGATAAACTTAACCTGCAAAGTGATTTGCTCAATAGAACTAGGCAATAAACATTAAAAAAAGGCTCACTTTAACTAACAGCAAAGAAAAAAAAAAGAAGCAAAACAAAAACAATAAATCAGTATGAGATGTGAATTTTTTACCTATCAGACTTGACAAGAGATAAAATTGCTGGTAATAGCCATTGTTGATAATGGTATGATCAAATAAGCCTACCTGGGCTGGGGATTTAGCTCAGTGGTTCCACTGCTATGAGGGATTTCAGTGGAATAATGCCCAGAGTATTTTATTAGGTGAAAAAGCATACTGAACACATTTGGAATGGTCAGTTTTCACGTTAGAGAAAGTATAGAGAAAAAGTCTGGAGAAACATCAACAAACTGGTAACAATGATTCTTCAAGCAGGGCAGAAACAGCTGTGTAGGAGGCTATTAGTTTCTACATTTCTACAATTTTTGAACTTAAAAAGGTGATGAGCAGCCAGGGATTTAGCTCAGTGGTTCTGCCACCTGCCTCACAAGTGCAAGGTCCCGAGTTCGATCCTAGGTACCAAAAAGAGCACATTTAACAATCATAATAAAAAAAAAATCTAAAACCAAAACATACAAGTCATACAAAGAGAAATATTACATTGGATTCTGTTACTGAGTTCTCGTGATTGAGATGAAGGAGCTATATGTAGGATTAATGGGTGATGTGGAGGTGTGGGAGAGTGGTGATCATTCTTAAATTAGAAAACAAAGATGAGGTAGCTCAGTAGTAGAGCTCTTGCCTAGCACAGTTGAGGCCCTGGTTTTAATTGCTAGCACTGCAAACAAAATAAAACAAAACAAAATGTACAAAGATGGTTTTTCTGGGCGTGGTGGCACATGCCTATAACCCCTCCTACTTGGGAGGCTGCAGTAGGATTGATTATAAATTCAAGACCAGCCTGGGAAATTTAGTGAGACTGTTTTGAAATAAAAAAATAAAAAGGGCTGTTTAATCCATTTGGATTTTAATTTACTGTATCCCTAAATGTACCAATAAACTCAATTAAAAAAAAAAAAAAAAAAGGGCTGGAGATGTATCTCAATATTAGAGGTGCCCCTTAGTTCAATCCCAGTGTCATAAAACACATACATGCCAGGCATGGTGTGATGCCATTAATCCCAGAACTCGGGAGGCTGAGATAGGAGGATTGACATGAGTCTAAGGGAAGCACGAGCTAAATAGTGAGTTTAAGGCCAGCCTGAACTACATAGTGAGAGAACCTGTCTCAAACAAAACAGAACAAAACAAAACCTCAACAACAAAACAAAAAACCCTAGAAAAAAAACTCCACACCAACACTTATACACTCAAACCAAAAGCCAAACAATAAAGGTAGTTAATTTGAAAATGCTCTGAAACATAATGAAGAGGATGAGCATACAGGACAGGCTATTTTCTGAAGGATCTTTGGATAAACATCACCATGCTAAGCAGACCAGGTGGGCCAAAGGGTGACATCCTTCTACCTTGTGTCACATCTGTCCTTTGATTATTTCATGCAGTGAAGGTCAGAGGTGGGGGTGAGATTCATTTCAAACCATACACTACAGGAAGCACAATTTCAAAAGCCTCAGCCAAAAAGAGGAAGCTGGCAGTGTGGTCGGTCAAGACCACCGGACCAGGTCAGTAAGTATGGTGATATGGTGCTTTCTAGTTCAAGAATGACCACCATCCTCCCACTCCTCCACATCAGCCATTAATCCTACATAAGATCTCCATGACTTACAAGCTGATGCAGAATTACCTAACTGCTGGATGGAATGGGAAACTTGGCTTCAAACCACTTTCCCTGGGATCAGCTCCAGTCATGCGCTTGCACTAATATGACCCCCTGTTTGTTCTCAACTCTGCACCTGCTCTCAGCTCCCCCTGTCTGTCTGCTGTTTAGGTGTGGCTCTCTCTGACTCAGGCCTGCACAGCAGAGTGGTGCTTTCTCAGGAAGGAAGTAGGTCAGGCTGTTTCTGAAGACAAGTCTTAATCAATCAGCTGAGTGTAAGGTGGGGTTTTCACTCTTCCCAAGCTGCATGAACTCCAGCCACCCCTAGGAGGAGACAACATATCACACATCTCAAACAAGTGAGTGGCTGTGGGAAGGGGCAAGCTGACTGCTTGGATCAGTGGGACCTAAACTGTGTATTATGACTAACCAAGGCCAATGCATTTCCTTAAAATTTTTTTTATATCTGGATACCCTTGTTTCTTGATCTAAATATGACCGTGTTCTCTAGTTTTTATCTGTCACCTATCAGAAGGATGTTCAAATTTGCATCAACTCCTCTCATTTCCCACGGTAGGAAAATACCTGTGATGTGTGCAACTAGAGATAGCTCAAGGGTAGTTGTTCTCACTAACCTTTTAATAATGTAAAAGAATACCCAATCTTATCAACTAACAGGCAAACGAGAGAGAAATTTCTATGATCCCAGGAATTCTGTATAGTTTTTAAAATTTGGAATATAATTTTTTTAAAGTATAGTTTTTAAAAAAATGCTAACTATCACTCATAAGTTTGGAGGAAATGAATGACGAAAGTGATGCTAATGGACATAAACAGCTCATGTTCAGAGGAAATGGCTGACATAACTGTGCTGCCCAGCAGGGATTTCCTTCTCTTCCTGTCACAGATAATCACAGAAAATATTGGGCTGAAACGTTGAAACGAAACTTATACAAAGCAAAATGAAAAAATCCAAACCAAAGATTGGTCTAATGATACTTCTTCCTTTTTTATTTTTGTAAGAGGACCTATAGGAAGGGTGGTAGGCAGCTCTTTGATATATCTTGAAAATTATTACCATTGCCTCTGAAACACTGGTACTTCATGTGCCCCTTCCCTTCCTGGTCTCCTTGCTCCACTTCCTATTCAGGGGTAACTTCCCTCCTGAATTTTTTGCTAATCATTCTTTGTTTTCTTTAAAGTGTCACTACATGTTTTGTACTTAGGAATATATTACTTAGTTTTGTACTTTATTATATAAATGAAATCATACGTGTATTCTTCTATGACTAATTTTTCTTTGTCTAAATTATGTTTTTAAGATTTATTGTGTGCAATTATTAGCTGAAAGCTAGAGTCCTGCTTAGGCAATTTAATGACTTAGTGGGATCTTTTCTCAAAATAAAATAAAAAAGGACTGGGGATATAGCTCATTGTAAAGGTCAACAGTTCAATCCCTAAAAGAAAAAAAAAATATCACAGGGTATAATGAATATATCACAATTTATTAATCTACATTGTAATGAACAGTTTCGGTTATTACATATGACACTGCCATGGACATTCTTGTGCTTTGTACACATCTAAATTTCTCAAAGCTGTTGTACATAGGAATGGAAAACATGGTCATGAAACATCAGTTTCATGTGGTAACATTAGACCATTTGCCAATGAAGCTTTGTTTGGAACAACATATTTTAATGGGCTATCATTGGTGGAGATAGATTTAAAACATTAGATCATATTTATTATTTTAAACTGTTAACTTTTAAATCCAGCTGATCCCTCGCCCAATCTATTCCAGACAGGCAGCAAGTAAACAATTTGCCAAAAAAGAACTTCAGAGTTGGTCTGTGGCTTGGATGATGCAATCAAATCTCAGATCCTTTCCTCTCGAGTGACCCCTGACCTGAATTTGGATTCATGTAAACACACAGACACATATGAGATGTCTGGGCTATTCTGGGTAAGAATTTGGCTTTTTAACCAGTAAACAAGAAAGAAATTTAAATGAGGAGGTGCATTAGATACCTCTTTCTACTCTTTCTTTTTTTTATTGTGATGTTTGCTAAAGTATCAACTTGAGAAAGTTATACAGAGGAGAATGCTGCTAAAAATAAAGGAGTAGTTACAAGGAAATTGTACTGTTTGTGGTTGCTTTTTAGGGAATAGGCAGTCTGTAGAAAGGAAAGGAAAAGCATTAATTGAGCATTTTCTGTGTGCTGTGCATGGTCCTGCATGCGTATTATTTAACGGAAAAGCTATTAACTAACATTCTTCTTAGCCAGTATGGTGCACACACCTCTAATTCCAGCACTTATAGAGGCTGAGGCAGGAGGATCCCAAGGTCAAATCCTGCTTGGGTAAAAAAAAAAAAAAAAAAAAAAAAAGCTGGGGGTTATAACTCAGTAGTACAGCATCCCTGAGTTTGATCCCCAGTACTGCAAAAAAATGTTTTTATATCTATATCCTTTCAAATGTCAACTGGGCTTGGCTGCCACCTGACCAGGAATTCTTGTCTTTTCATTCTCAGGTTCCCTGGGATTGGCTGACCTCTGTGCATCAGCTAACTTGACCTCAATGTCTCTACCAGCAAAGTCAGTAAAGAAGTCAACCCTGTTCTCTCTGGTCCTTATGGTAGAGGCCTTCAAAGAATCAAAACTGACATTTCTGCAGACATGTAGCAAAAATTCTCTCCAGCTACCACCCAGTTTTTCTTTTTTGCTTCCTTACATTACAATCTAATACAACAGACACATGGTCCAGCTTGCAAATGGTCTGCCTGAAACCTGAACCTATCTAATGGAGCATAAACCTGCCAGATACTTGCATGATCAGAGTGCAGAGAAACAAACAGGGTCGCCAGAAGTTTAATGAAGAATTTCAAAACAGACACAGAAGACACACACACACACACACACACACACACACACACACACCCTCTTGTCTCACTCCTGTCCTGCAATTATAAAAACAGAAGGAAAACCAGATATGCATAGATCTAAAGAGGAATATTAAATAAGCATTTCTAAGCTTTTAATAATATTTTGTGGGGTTTTCTTTTTTTTTTTGGTACTGGGGATTGAACTTGGGACCTTGTGCTTGCAAGGCCTTAATAATATTTTGAATGATACAAAAGGTCTCTTGTCCTTCACAGGGCTTTCATAGGTTGGCCTATATCCTTACACTCTGATTAAGATGTAATAAATTCATAAATCGCTGTAGGAATTTGGTGTCAATTTGCAAACTTTTCTTCTACTAAGAGGCCAAAACACTAAAGCCCTCAAAAAGAGAGATGCCACCTTGAGTTACTTACTGGTTAACCATACAGCTAGAAATGGTAGGAGCAGGGTTCTTAACTCCCTGAGAAAATCACCACATGCCTCCTGGGAGAAGATATGAAATACAAGATCAAAACACCTGGACAGGACATGGAATTTCTTTGCAAGTAGAAGTGAATGTGATTTTTCTAAGGACTTTACTTGCCTAGTTATCTAAACCGCAAGACTTGACAGAACTTCAGACAACCACAGAAGCCTGGAGATTCTCTTTTCTTTGTTCTTCTAAGCAGACAGAGGACTTTGGTACCAGTAAAGAGTCTGCTGGGCCCAATACACTGGGATTTAAAGTACCAATGTTTCTGAACAAAACATCATACATTGCAGACTCTTATGGCTACATACCCATAACCACCTTCGTTATTGTCAGAAGCCTGATTTGGATGGGTATTCACCGTCCTATGGGTTCAAAGAGTGTGGTACTTTCCTAGCTCCACAGCTTAAATATAAATGTTTTAGCCAACCCTGGAAATTGTTTCCTTGACCAGTGAATGGCTTTAGACATACCATCCAGTCCTGGCCCAACAGTCTGGAGGTGAAGTCTATAGGAAGCTTGAAAAGTCATTCTCCCTAATTTAAATGCCCTTTTCCTTCAGCTATATGCTATGCAATTTACATGTATATGCCTATAAATGTGGGAGACACATAACAATCAGGATATAACCTCAAGGTTAAAACATTAACTAAGAAAAGTAGAGCATAAAGATGGAGCACACTAAAGTCTCTGATCACATCCTCACCAGACTACGAGAATCTACTTCTCTATTAGAGGAGATGACAACTTTTAAAACTACCCGTAGCATGGTGCTAGGCCAGATATTTTCCATTTATCCCTGCAAGTCTGCTCTTTAGCTTTTCTACCCTGCTGTCTGTGCCAGAGGCTGATCAATGGACCACTTCAACAAGCCTTCTTCTCTTCTGACTTCCATAGAGTTTGGCTAATACAGAGCACAAGGAGGAGACTGCCATTAAGAGACTGAGAACAAAGTGTTTTTGTTTTTTTTTTTCTCCAAACTCCATCCCTGCAAGCTCACTGTGTCCCCCTAACTGAGGGTTACTATTCATCTTTGAAGATGCCTTTTCCTATGATCTATGCCTTCCAGGTTCTGGTAAATGCTTCTTTTCTCTTTGCATTTGTGAAAACAAATAGCCCTGCTATGTAAGTTCCTTGATTTGCTATAATTCCATTCCTTTGTAAAAAACTCTGCAAATAATCTTAATCTGAGTATGATGTTTCTTGCTGAGATTCTTATTGTTGGAGGTTTTCTATTACTTGCAGCCCAAAGCAGTCTAAGTGATCTCTCTAAACTGGATTCATAGTTAAAGTCCAGGAAATATCACAATACATGGGATTCCAGGAACACCTCCTCTTCCATCCTTTTAGTAGAGTTAGTGTGTTTTTGGTGGTGGGAAGCAGTGGCTTATCCTAAGGAAGAAATAAATAGCACATGTACACATGCATTCTCTGGGTAACCCTGGACAAGGGAGTTGATGAAAAACAACCCTCAACAATATACAGTAAACATTTATACACATTTTTATTCACAATAACCATGTGAGGTAGTTCTCTTGATTTTCATTTTCTAGATGGATTTGGGTTAGCACAGGAAATGTGAAGTAACTTTCAAGGTTGCAGCAAGTGGGTAGGGCAGGAATGGAAATCAAATCTTCCAACTCAAATTCTGTGGTTTTCCCCTCCTTAAGGCTTACCCTCCTTACATGAATCAAGCCCAGGAAGTCAGGATGGAATAGAAAAAGAAAGGGAAGAGTAGAAGTGATTTTTGGGTTTATTATGCTTTTGTATCTTCATTTAGGATTTTTGTGAAATTCCTTTAATATCTAAGAAAAACCACATATGCTAAATAAACTCAACCCAACAGTGTGCAGAAGCCTGGGATTCCAGAGTAAATACTGAAATTGGCAGGACACATCGTATCCTTCCTCTCAGTGGGGCACTTGAGGACACTGCCTAACATCTGTCATGTGTGTGTGTTTGGAAATATATAATATTTATGTCTTGTCAAACCCTTAGATGCCTCTTTCTTGCAAACAGAAGTACTGTGCCCTACCTTTTGATTTAATCTAAAAATGTAATTTAAAAAAGTCATCAAAATCTGGTCCCAAAGATGTACAAATTCTTTTAAACAGAGTAGGCTTGACTATTCTCCCAGCCTCCTAAGAGAACAACTCAGAGGAAATCATGCCAAATGCTGAGTAAAAGGGAGGGGTTTTTAAGTGGAAACCATAATGCTATGTTGTAGCTACATTTTCACAATACTTTAGGGGGTGGTCCCTCTGCCTGGATAGGCTGGAAAACTATTTAACATTTTGTTCAGGGGAAACACAGCCCACATTCAAGAGTCAGGACCAAGTCATGAGACTTGCTGGAGTCAAGCTCTGGCACCAGCTTCAACTGCTTCTAGGCAGCTGTGCTTTCACCCTAGCAAACTTACCTAAAATGTATCCATGTGGAAAAAACAAAGCAAATTCTAACAATCTACAGAATTTCAGCATGTGGAATCTCAAGAAACTGATCCTTAAGTCATTTAATATCTGATGCTTATTCCCAAGAGCAGCAAAAGGTGGTTTTCACTCCCAAAAGGGTAGGGATGCAGTGAATTAATTATTCATTCTAATAACCAACTACCAAGTTATTATTGAAAACAGCTGCTTCTTATTGATACAGGAAGATATTCAAGACCTAGCAGTGGGTGGAAAATAGTTTTTGTGAAGAAAATAATCATCAAAATATGTGAAGTAAAACCTAGAGAAACATGGTAATGTCAACTGCTGCCTCTAAGTATTGAGTTTATAAATTATTTTTTCCCTTTTTAATTTTTTTGCATTTTTGCAAACAATATACATAAAACTTGACTAAAAGATAAAAAAAAAGTCAGGCACGGTGGCACATGCCTATAATCCTAAGACTCGGGAGGGTGAGGCAGGAGGATTGCCAGGAGTGTGAGGCCACCCTGTCTCAAAAAAAGGGAAAGAAATAGCTGCTTCTTGGAAGTACCTTCATACCTCAAATGGGTAATAAACATTAGTCACATGACCTAGATTACTGGCGAGGACTCAGTGAAACCAAGCCCTGAAGGAAAAATATGCCAAAAAAGTATCCATAGTAACAGTATCTTTTTTTAAATGACCAAAAAATTTCCAAGAATTTCATCTAAGTCTAGCATTACCTTAGGTAGAATTGGTATTTATTTTAATAAGGCAACTGTATCTAGCTTTGTAAGACATTGAGAAGAATTTATTAAAATCTAGTTGAGAACAAAATAAGGGAACAGTATTTCTATTCTTTAATTTATATCAACCTAAAATCAACCTCAAAAATTAAGTGCCAGCTAGGCATGGCAGTGCATACCTGTAATCCCAGCACTCAGGAGGCTGAGAGGCAGAAGGATCACCACAAGTTTGAGGCCAGCCTAGGCAACCTAGTGAGTTCAAGGCCAACCTGAACTATACAGTGAGACCCCATCTCAAGAAAAAAAAAAAAAAGTGGGGCGGGGGCTGGGGATTTAGCTCAGTGGTGCCGCCACCTGCCTCACAAGCCCAAGGTCCATAGTTTGATCCCTGGTACCAAAAAACAAAACAAAAGATTAAATGCCCAATTTTCCATGCTAATCTTAAACACCTATACTTATTTTTTAAAAATTTGATTGATAGAAATTAAAATCACATCCAAATTAGGCTGAGAACTGGCTGTAGAATAATCACTTCTCCTTTCCTTCCATACCCGAAAGGAGAAAGCATCTGAGATAAATCAATGATGGACTCACCTTGCCAGCAAGATTCCCTGGTACTCTTCTAATTGTCTCATGAAGCTGGGGTTGGGCTTGGTCACTGTTCGTCTCTCCTTCACATAGTCATAGGCTCGGTCCAGATTCCAGCCATATTCTTTCATTGCGTAGGCAATCACTGTAGAGGCTGAGCGACTCACCCCCATCTTACAGTGCACGAGACATTTAGATCCATGTTTCCTAGTTTGGAGATTGAGGTATAGAATAGAGAAAAGCAACAGTGAGTACATTTAAAAAGTCACGTTCTGGAATCTTTCAAATTTCCTGTCCTACCCTATTTTTGAGCCATACCATCTCCTCACCTTGGAGATATACATCTATGACTGAATTCAAGAGTAGGTTAGGCAGCTTTAAATTTCTCTTAAACAATATTCAACATTAATATTAAGCCCCCAACTCACTCAACAAACATTTAGCAGGCATTTTACCACATACAAGATAATGTGCAAGTTGCCAAGATGCAAACATAAGTAACACACCGCTTTTACCCTAAAAGGTAGGATTCAGTGGGGAAAACAGACACAATTCAATATGGTAAGTGCAATAAGAGTAGAGACATTTTGAATTTAGAGACTGGAGCCCATTTTGTGTTGTTGCAGAACATGTTTCATGGCTGGTGCTCTCCTGGGTTAAAGGTGTGCCAGTGATTCATTATTCAAATGTTATGAGTTGTTTCCAGTTTAAATTCCAATAAGCGTTCTGTCCCTGGAGGAAACCCACCTTCCTCTCAGACATTACTTTTCACAACCCTACAATTGGCATCTTGTCTAGAGACTGGCTATATAACCCAGAGAGTTGGAATGGGTACATTTGATGTGCCACATGGCTTTCTCAGGGATGAGGGTGGCATGAATGACAGCTATCTGTTTAATTTTTTAATGGTGGGGATTGAACCTCAGGGTCTCATGCTCACTAAACATGTGCCATACCACTGAACCACACTCAGGCCCTCCACGCTTTTTTTTTTTTTGAGAGAGGGTCTCACTCTGTGGTTCAGACTGGCCTCAGCCTCCGGACTTCCAAGTGCTGGAATTACAGGCATGTGCCACCATGCCCAGTGAGGCCCATTTTTTATTTTTTATTTTTTTGGTACAGGGGATGGAACTCAGAACCTTGGGCTTGTGATGCACTGAGCTAAATTCCCAGACCTGGCCACTGTTTTTGTAATGGGGTGAAAGGAAGAGAAAATAAAGCTACCACAAAGCTATACAAACAAACAAAACACCCGAGTCTTACTATGCCAGAGCAAAATACCCTGAATATGACCATTCTTCAGTGATGCTGATTCTGTTAACAATAACAGTGTCTGCTACATAGTAAGCCCTCAAATATTTGCTAAATGTATGAACAAACATGGATTTGCTGATTAGATTTGCCAGATGCTTAAGTAGGAACATTTAAAAATTGGGAAAAAAGAACTTCTACTCATCACTAGTATATATAGATTCTAGAATCATTCCCACGTAGTTATTCCAATAAATGAAAATATGTATTTGTAAGCTTAAGGGGAAGTCAGTTCACTGACTCGCTCATTGTCAAACAATGGCAAAGGCTACAAAGTTTTCACCTACAAGCTTATTATTTTGTTTTTAGAGACAGATACATGAAAGAGTTAAGTATTAATGCAAAGAAACATGAAGTTACGTGCCAAAATGAGTGAGCCAGATAAACTATAGAAATGTAGAGAATGGCCTGAAATAACTGAAGCAGTCTCAAGAGAGAAGAAAGATTAGCCTGTTTCGTATCAATTAGGTGCAATTTTTGATGATGTCCTATGGTTGGCTTGGATGTGTGTCTCTGTGTACTTATTTCAAATGACTGAGGATGCTTGTTTTATTTATGATACAAGGTTTTCATTTAAACTACAGTTACAAAGCCAATGCTAGTGACTCAGATGAAAATTAAGATATGTGCTCTATATTTTCCCATTGACCTCTGACAACATTAGTGTATCAAATTTCAGGTCTATGCCTGCAGGCATCAAAGGTGCTCAAACTTGGACAAATTTAAGTAAAATGCAATTATGAAATCTACTCCCATGAAAACATCTCTTTAACGGGGATTTTTTTCAGAGGACAGCTCCTAACTCATGTAATGAAAAATCTAAGTCAGTTCTCACCTAACCTATTTCTACCCTTTAATTTTAGCCCCTAGGTCCAGGATTGTCTAGAATAAGCCTGGCATTATACTGGGAACTGGGGTCTTGATTAGTCTAAGATGCAGGAGTTTCTCAGAGCACAGCATTTAAGGAGGCACTCCCTCTCAGATGCTGACCTATACCCACAGAGGTCTGAAAGGGAATGCCCTCCATTTGTGCCCTGGGTGCTTCGTATGTCTTCCTAATCCCAGCTGCAATGAGCCTTTCTTTTCAATGTAACTAGGGGGTTCCCTTGAAATGTAGTCTCTTTACATGGGAACTTGACAACTTGTCTACTCTTTCTGGTTCACTTTTCTTATTGAACTAGACTATTCCTGTACACATGTACACATGAACTCTGATACAGGCACAATCTTGTTTCTACCACTAGTTACTTAACTTCTATGAATCTCATCTCTATGGATTGTCCTCATTCATACAGGATAACATCTATTTTTCTAGATTTTAGAAAACATTACACAAGACCGTGCATATATGGTGCATGCGTGCATACACACATACACACACACACACACACACACACACCCATAAAAATAAAAGCCAGGCGTGGTGGTGCACGTCTGTAATCCCAGCACTCGCAGGAGGGTCGCTGTGAGTTCAAGGCTGGCCTGGGCTACATAGTGAATTCAAGGGCAGCCTGAACTACATAGTGAGACTTTGTCTCAAAAAACAAAGCAAAACAAAAAACCATAAAGTAACTGGCACAAAGCAAGCGTGCCATGAATAGTATCATTACTCTGAATAATTTATTAAATAGGCTTCAAGAAAATAAAGCACTCTTAGGTGCTGGCTACAGGCTAAAGAAACAGGCTCAAGGCCATAGCATGGGGATTCATGATAACTAAGAGTAGGCTGGGGATTTAGTTTAGAGGTGCTGCACCTGCCTTGCAAGTACAAGGTCCCAAGTACAAAAAAAGGTCCACCAGTAGAAAAAAAAAAGATAACAAAGTGCAAGAATGTCATGACCACGAACTTCCTTAACAGAAAAGAGGAATCTTCTTGAAGGAGAACTTTAAAAAGAGAAATATTTTTCACTTGCCAATGACAGCTTGAATGTAATCCTGCCTGAAGGAAGATGTAGCTGTCAAGCTCATTTATGATTCCTTACAGTGAAAAAATGAATAGGACTGGGAAAGAAATCCTCAGGGACTTAAACAAATGCAGTGTTGACATTAATATTAAGCACTAAGTTAATACTAAATAGTTTCATTAAAAGAGTCAATTAATGGGCTGGGGATACAGCTCAGTTGTTAAGGAGCTTGCTTAGCATTTTTTAAGATATTGGGTTAAAAAAAATGAGAAAACATTTCCAAAGCTCACTATACTTCTCTCCTTGTCTTCAGAGAAGATGAACATGATTCCACCTACCCAGAGTAATTTCTGTTATGCAACTTACATACATCCCCACTGACTAAAGAATTTCACTCAGAATTTCTTCCATGTCTCATTTTTTTCCTTCTCCCTCCCTCCCTCCCTTCCTCTCTCTCTCTGGAGGATTGATTTCATTTGGCTCATGTCATTTCCATTTCTTTAGCTGTGGTCTTTAATTTTGCGCTTAACAGAAATATGATCCCACCATGAGGTCACCTCCTTCTAGGGGTTTCATCCACTTAAAGGAATAGTATTAGGTCACTAGTATTTTGCCTAGATTTACAAAGTCTCAGTCCCCCTTTTCCTTTATGTCCTTTTTTTCCTGAGTACCAACAGTAAATTATCTATTGCCCTCGGCCCTTAGCCATTTGCGGTGCTTGAGGAACAGTGGTAGAATATGTCTATAGGACTATTACTCACTTTGCTTTAGAGATGAATTTGTAAGTATCATTCCAGTAAGCCAGGAGATCCGTTGCTTCTTCATCATATACCCGGATGTTATGATACTCAAAGACTCCTGGGAAGAAGTTATCTATCTCTCGAGTGACATTCAAGATATACCGCACCCTGTGAGGAAACCAAGGGAGAAAGTATGCGCTACTACCCAGGCTAAATCCAATTCCTAGCACTATTTTTCTTATTTAAAACATGTTTACTCCATAGCTGAAATTAAATACAAAAATAATGAAAAAAGCTAAAAAACTAAGGCTATTTAGTAAAGAAATTGTCTGAAGGATCCTGGATATGTCCAGACATGATGGAGTTACTTAATAAACTATCTGCCAAGTTCAACATCTAAATTTGTTTCTTTTCTTCTTCTTGTTTTGGCTTTGAGGGGCAGTCTGCCACTGAGGTATATCTCTAGTCTTTATTTTAAATTTTGAGACAGGGTTGTACTATGTTGCCCAGGCTGGCCTTAAACTCATGATCCATCTCCTTCAGCCCCTACCCTAGGTAGCAGATATTACAGGCATGCACCACCACTCCTGGCTTAAATTCCACTTTCATTCTATGCATACTTACACAATCTTTTTTTTTTTTTTTTAGACAGGGTTTCACTACGCAGTTCATGCTGGCCTTGAACTCACTATAAAGTCCAGGCTGGCCTCAAAATCAGGGTGATCCTTCTGCCTCAAGCCTCATGAGTGTTGGGATTATGGGCATGCTCCACCATATCCAACACAACCTTATTTTTGAGAATCTTTTCATATGGCCTTGCATTTTTCTCCAAAGAATCAACTTAAAATCCCTAACATAATTTGTCACAAAACTACCAAAATATTAATTTTCAGTGGAAATTAATTGTATACAATCAGACTGTTGACATGTATCCCAAGAAAAACAGAAAAGAAAAAAACTTCTTCCTATTTTTCTAAATGCTAAATGGTTAAAAATTGCTCTATTACTCTCTCTAAAATAATGAAAGGCAGATGAGTCCAGGGTTGGGAGGGTCAGAGGAAATTTGGACTTTAAACTCCTTTAACTCTGTCAGGCTGCATTCTTGGCTGTTACGGCAGAGGGTGTGTCTGAGAGTTCTCTCATATTGAACTGCACAGAGAAAAGGGTTTATCAAAATTTTCTTCTATTATCTCTCACTGCACCATCTCCATAAGTGCCTTAGTTTAGTTAACCAAAAGTTATCTTTTTTCAATGTTATGTATACCTAGACATCACTATAGTTTATTCCGACAATAGGAAATGAAATAGATTCTGAAGAAGCTGTTTCCTTCTCAGAACCAAATGTGGGGCTTGACAAACTGAATCTTGGAAATGAAGGAAGTAACTACGAAAAGAGAAAAACAGTTAACCAACTTTGTGTAATTAAGGTCAAATGGCCAAAATATTTCTGGGACATGAATCAAATGTTTCAACATAGTATCATTAGCTCATTACTAAAATTTAAAAAAAAAATTTAAAAAGCAAGCACAAGCTGGGCATAATGGTGCACTCCTGTAATCCTAGCACTCTGGAGGCTGAGGGAGGAGGATCGCTGTGAGTTCGAGACCAGCCTGGGCTACACAGTGAGTTCCAGGTCAGTCTCAACTACATAGTGAGACCTTGTCTCAAAAAAAAAAAAAAGGGCTGGGGATTTAGCTCAGTGGTTCTGCCTCCTGCCTTGCAAGTACAAGGACCTGAGTTCTATCCCTGGTACCAAAACAAAACAAAACAAAAAACAAGCACAAATGATTCCTTTTTTTTTTGGTACCAGGAATTGAACTCAGGGCCTCATGCTTGCCAGGCAAGTGCTGTACTGTTGAGCTACATCCCTGGCCCAAACAAATTACTCTTAAAAAGGAGACTGAAGAAGGCATCAAAAATGGAAAGATATCCCTGTTCTTGGATAGGCAGAACAAAAATGGCATACTTCCAAAACTGATAAACAGATTTAATGCAATTCTGATCAAAATACCAAGAGCACTGCCCACAGAGCTAGAGAAAACAATCCTAAACATTTTTTTAAAATTTAATTTTATTTTTTTGGTTTTTTGAGACAGGGTCTCACTATGTAGTTGAGGCTGGCCTGGAACTCACTGTGTAGCTCAGGCTGGTCTTGAACTCACAGTGATCCTCCTGCCTTAGCCTCCTGAGTGCAGGGATTACAGGCGTGCACCACCACACCCGGCCTAATAATCCTAAAATTGATATGGGCTCAGAAGAGACCTACAATAGCAAAAGCAATTCTGGACAACAAGAGCAAAGCAGGAGGCATCAATACCCCAGACTCCAAGTTATACTACAAAGCTATAATGAAAAAACTGGTATGGTATTGGCAAAAAAAAAGGGTAATATGGATCAGTGAAATAAAATAGAGGGTACAGAAACAACTCCAGGCACATTCAGTTAACCAGTTGTTGACAAAGTGGCCAAAAACATAGGCCAGAGAAGAGACAGCCTCTTTAACAAATAGTACTAGAAAAACTGGCATTCCACATGCAGAGGATTGAATCTAGACACGTAAGTCTCACCATGTACTCAAGTCAAAATGGATCAAAGATCTAAATGTTAAAAAATAAATATGTTGGAGGCAAAATAAGTAAAACTCTTGAAGACATAGGCATAGGCAAGGATTTAAAAAAAAATAGAACCCTGGTTGCACAAGAAATAATACCAGGAATCAATAAATGGGATCATATCAAATTAAAAAGCTTCTCCACATCAAAGGAAATGATCAACAGAGCAAAGAAAGAAATGGGAAAACACTTTGCCGGTTATTTCTTGGACAGAGGACTAACATCTAGAATATATAAAGAACTAAATAAGAAATTAGGCCCCTCAAATAAAAGATCCAGTCCTGGGCCAGGATTTAGCTCAGTGGCACTGTGCCTGCTTCACAAATACGCAAGGTTGTGAGTTTGATCCCTGGTACAAAAAACAAAACAAAAACCAAAAAAACACCCCAAAAACCAAAAAACCAAAACCAAAAAAAATCCCACCCAATCCAAAAATGGGCAAGTGAAATGAACAGATGCTTTTCAGAAGAAGTACAAAGAGCCAATAAATATATGAACAATGTTCAACATCTCTGGCCATTAAGGAAAGGTAGATTAAAGTGACACTGATATTCCATCTTACTCAAGAAAGAATGGTTATCATCAATAAATCAAATAATAACAAATGCTGGAGAGGATGCAAGGAAAAAGGAACCCTTATACATTGTTGGTGGGAGTGTAAACTAAACTAAAACCAGTTTAAAATTAAAACAATTTTTTTCAGGATCTATTTATTTAGAGACAGGATCTCACTATGCAGTTCAGGCTGGCCTTGAACTCACAGTGATCCTCCTGCTTCAGCCTCCTGAGTGCTGGGATTACAGGTGTGCATCACCATGCCTGGCCTAGAACTAGTTTTGATCCAGCTATTCCCCTTCTAGATACAGTATCTTCCTGAAAGAGTTAAAGACATATTTACATACTCATGTTTGCAGTAGCACAATTCACAATATCTAAACCTTGTATGTGGCCTATATGTCCATCAGTAGATGAATGGATAAAGAAAATGTGGTATTGCTGGGCATGATGGTGCACACCTGTAATCCCAGCCCTCAGGAGGTGAGGCAGGAGGATCACTGTATGAGGCCAGCATGGAATACACAGTGAGTTTAGGGCCAGCCTGAATGACATAGCAAAACCCTGTCTCACAACACAAAAAACAAACAAACAACAACAGAAGTGGTATTTATACACAATGGAGCACTACTCTGTCATAGGTCGAGTCATTTGTTGAAAAATGAATGTTCCTTGAGACCACAGCGTTAAGTAAAATAAATCAGACACACAAGCTTAAATGTGGCATGGTTTCTCTTATACGAGAAACCCAAAATATAAATAAGGACCGAGATAAAAGACAGACAATAGGAAATAGGGAGATAGAACTTTCTCAAATGGGAAGGTAATCAAGAAATAGAAGGAAGGGGGAAGGAAGGGTAGGGATTAAGATTATATATATATATAATATATATATGTACAATATATATATATGTATAATATATATATATATATATGTATTAACTCCTCACAAGGAATGTGATTATTATGTACTAACAAACATGTACTAATAAAAATAAAAATGGAAAAAAGAAAGCAAGAGTATGTAGGAATACAAAATTGTGCAACTGCTATGGTAAATAGTTTAGCAGTTCCCCAAAAGATGAAACAGAGTTAATGTATGACCCAGTAATTCCTCTCAATATAAATGTATAGGGAATGAAAACATCAAGTCCACCCAAAAACTCACATACAAATAACAGCAGCATTACTCACAACAGTAAAAAAGTAGCTATTTGTTAGTTGATGGATACTAGTAATATTTAGGGATTGGGGAAGGAAGGGAAATGGAGCCAAATGCTAAAAGGCACAGGCTTTCCTTTTGGGGTAAAAAATGTGCTAACTTGGTTGTAGGAATGGTTGAACAACTCTGAAAAATTTACTAAAAACTACTGAAATGTACATTTTAAATGGGTGAATTATCTGGTATGTGAATTACATTTTTTTTTTTTTTTTGAGACTGGGTCTCATTATGTAGTTGAGACTGACCTGGAACTCACTATGTACCCCAGGCTGGTCTCGAACTCACAGTGATCCTCCTGCCTCAGCCTCCCAAGTGCTGGGATTATAGGTGTGTACCACCATGCCTGGCTTATATTTCAATAAACCTTTAGAAAGAGTAAGCACATCTCTTTTATTTAAAATAAAACCCCCACCTTCAGTTGTATACTTCAGTAATGTTCAGGAATGGGTTCTGGCACTATCTCTCTTGACTCAAGACAAGGCTTCCCAATCCTTTTCCCTACAGATCTGTAAGCAGCCACTGCCAACTGGCATTGGCACTCAGATTTTTTTTTTGCTATGTTAGCAGTAAGTGACTCTTTATGGAGCAGTAGTTTACTGGGGTTATGTTCTAAGGTAAGCAGATTGGACAGAAAGCTGCTTGAACAACAGTTGACAAACCTATGGTAGTGCGTAGGTTTTGTGTATAGACCTATACAGTATAATTCTTCACACACTAAAGCTCAAGAACCACTGAATTGAAAAAAAAAAACAAGATCTAAGTAGATATCATGGCATACG